AATGAAGATCAGTTCAATAAGTTTATGGAAGCTTTGACTAAAAGAGAAGAACATAAAACTCTAGCAAAAGAAAGCAATCATATTAAAATTAAATACTTTTATAGTACCGATGACGAGGATCCTTTTGAATGGTTTAATAACTTCGAAAGAGCTGCCGAAGCTAATAACTAGGCCAAAGATCATATAGTAAAGATTGCATCCGGGTATCTAAAAGAAATGGCAGCTATATAGTATAAAAGAGTTAAGGAAAGTATTGAGTACTGGAAGATAAAAGAAGATAATGAAGCAAATAGAAGCAAAAGTTTCTATTATTTGTTTGTAGAACAATTTGCCCCTAAAGTACGTTAACATTGTTGGCAGATGGAACTCTACGAATTATGACAAAAGGATACAGAGAAAGTGGATATTTATGCCACTAAATTTATCAAGTTACTTAATAAGATTAATGTTGATAATGGTTTTTTCAATAGATTTATTGTTGGGATGTTTTTGAATAGTTTAAAGAGTCAAAACGCCACTTTGGTATCTGTAGCCACTTTTAAAGACTTGAATAAAGCCATTGACGCGGCAAAGAGAGTTGAAGCTAGAGAAAATTATGGCCGACGATCTACTAAAATAGTAAACGAACAAAAAGGGGATGAGATAATTGAATTAAAAAGAAGTATTGAAGGCCTAGCATTAAATTATGCGACCTTGTCTGCTCAATTAAAGGATACAAAAAGATATCATCTGCATAATAATTATTATAGAGGAGGACGACCTCAGAATAATTATAGGTGGGAAAGAAAAGAAAGTACTGAGTGTAGGAAATGCGGTGAACTAGAACATATACAAAAGAATTGTATGTCGGAAAAATCAAATTATCCATACCTAATCAAAGAAAAGAAAATAATAAAACAAAAACTATTAGTTTTTGTAAATTAGAAAATGACTATAAAGAAGAAGTATTTATAGCTAATAATATTACCTTGACAAAAGCTACAAAACGTATGGCGGACCCTAAGTTAGTGATGCCACCAAAATTGATTTTCAAAAAAGGCCTATTTCATCTTCATTAGAGCAAATTAAAATTTTTTATAAGAAAGAACAAATAAAATTTATATATTTATATTCTTTATAATTTCGTCTATTCAAAAAAAGTGTCAAAAAATTTCATCTTTTAAGTAAAATAGATCAAAAACAATTTCGTCTTCAAATTTTAATTTCGGGTTTTTGAACCCAAAATAATTTCATCGGCATGTATACCCTAAGTGGGAAGGAAGATTAAAGAAAGAAGCAAGAATATCTAAAAAACAGTCTGAAAAAGAACAAAATATAGAAATTGATAACCTTTCTGTGGTTCAAGAACCTAATCTCCTAAATGAGTCTAAGAGAAAACATGGAATATCAAAAATTGATTCTTTAAGTCTATACAATATAGCAAATGATATATTAGCCTTACCTACTAGCGCTACAGTAGGTCAAATACTTCAATACCCAAACCAGCAAAGAAATTTGGCCAAAATATTAAAATGACTGGCCATTTCGAAGGAAACTAATTTCCTTAACCCCAAAAAAGAACGTCGAAAAACTGCAGCCTGGTATTATATTTGAATCCGCAATAACCCAGTGCTGGCTGTATTAAACTCAGATGAAGCCGTAAGCATTATATCAAAATGCTTACTAGACAAATTAGAACTAAGGATAGATAATAAATCTATCACTATGGTAGTAATAGCCACAGGAGCAAAAGCCAAGACACTCGGGAAAATTAAGGATGTTAGATTAATCATCCAGAATATTGTAGTACCCACAACTCTACATGTTATAGAATTCTCAGATAATACCTTATTGTTAAGAACAGATTGGTTTCAGAAAACAAAAGCTAGAATATATTTTGATAGGCAAAAATTGTATTTACAATATGCTGATAGATCAGCAGAAGTTCCAATTTCAAATAGCAGAGCTGAAGGTCTTAATCCCTATGAAGATGAAGAAATCCAGAGTGACAGTGGGGATACTTTTAATAAATTCGATTATGAAGAAAAAGAATACGATGAAGAAAACATTGAAAGTTGACTTATAGAAGAAAATCCTGTATTATATCTTACTAATATCAAAAAGGTACCTATGAAGAAAGCTAAAGAAGATAAAGAAAAAGAAAAATCTATAAAAGAATTAATAAATGAAATAGTTAATAATGAAGAATTAACATTACAACAACAAAATATAGCAAAAGAATTTTTGCTTACAGAAGAAACTTTGTTTGCTCTAAGTATTGAAAATATGGGATGTACGAATGTTATGACTCATAGCATTAACACAGGAGATGCCGCTCTAATAAGACAAGGATACTATCGTGCTGCTTATGAAGAAAACGAATTTATTAAAAAGGAAATAAATAAATTAAAAGAACAAGAACTTATAGTTGATATAATTAGCTACTAGGCATTTTCAGTAGTTATAGTGCTGAAGAAAAATGGCAAACTACGATTCTGTGTAGATTATAAAAAGTTAAATGCAGTTACTAAAAAGGATACATATCCTTTGCTGCTTATCAATGATCTCCTAGATATGTTTGGAAAGGCCAAATAGTTTTTTACTTTAGACCTAATAAGTGGATATTGGCAGGTTGGAGTTAGTGTAAAAGATATTGAAAAGACAACATTTATTACTAAATATAGTACTTACGCTTTCAAGATAATGCTGTTTTGTCTCTGTAATACACCAGATACTTTCCAAAGGTTGATGGATCAAGTTCTTGGTGAATGTCTTGGAAATTTCGCTATAGTCTACCTAGATGATATAAATATATACTCAAATTCATTAAAAGAACATTTAAAGCATTTAAAAATTATTTTTGACAAATTGAGAAAAGCAAAATTGAAATTAAATCCGGAAAAATGTTCCTTCTTTAAATCTGAGATTCATTATCTGGGATATATAATAAACAAAGAGAAGGTAAGACCAGATGAGTCTAAAATGGAAAAAGTTAAAAATTTTCCTATACCAATAAATCTTAGGCAATTGAGGGATTTATTGGATTAGTTTTATATTATCGTTGATTTATTAAGAGATTTATAACAATAGCCCGACCACTTTATAAGTTACTAGAGAAAAACATTCCCTACAAATGGAAAGAAGATTAACAAAATGCCTTTGAAATATTAAAAAGACATTTAATGATGGCACCTATTTTAAAGTACCCAAACTTCAAAGAAGAATTTTATTTACATACCGATGCTTCTGGTATTGGATTAGGTGTGGTACTAGCCCAGAAAGATAAAGACCACAAAGAATATGTGGTGGCTTATGCAAGCAGAGGTTTATCCAAAACAGAACAAAATTATTCGGCCCAGAAGTCGAATGCCTAGCTGTAGTATGGGCAGTAGAACATTTCCATTACTACCTTGAAGCTAAACATTTTACTCTAATAACAGATCACGCCACTTTTAAATGGCTCCATATGTCGGAACCAAAAGGAAAGAAAGCCCATTGGATTTTGAGATTGCAACCTTATAATTACTCTATTATACACTGTGCCGGGAGGAAGCATTCCAATGTCAATGCTCTATCAAGGATGTATCTAAGAAAAAAAAAGAATTAAAAATAGAACAATTAATTTTTTTAAATTTAAAGACAAAGTTAGGACTAAAGAAATAAGCAAAGACATTAAATTATTAAGAACTTTAATTGCAATTTGGTAAAATTTATATTATAAAAAAAAAAATATATTAAGTTAGAACTAATTCTAAATTACACTAATAGCTTTTATATTAAAAAAAAAAAAAAAAGGTACTCTGCCTGTCAGTCGTGTATTAAGCCTAGTACCAGCGGAGCTTATACTGAAATAGGTACTACGTGAAAATTAAGGGTATGTTCAGACCTGTCAGACACGTATTAAGCCTGGTACTACTGATAATAAGTACTATGCGAGATTGAACCTAATTAGTGTAATTAAAAATAATACAAGAATTTAAATTAAATTAATAGAAGAATTAAATAAAAATATTTTAAGAAGAAATTTAACTAAAGAAATTAAATAATTTAGAAGAAAAGATTCTACAAAACTTTTCAAATCCGACATTAAAAATTAATCCAGCCCAGGTAGTCAGTGTCCTAGCAATATCAAAGATGGATTCACTACGTTATCAAATATTGAAGACATTTCTTTTAGAACATATATTACCAAAGAAAATTACTCCACAAGAACATCGAAATATCCAATCTCAAAGTCAATTTTTTATAGTAAGAAATAGCTTAATTTATAAAAAAGACAAATACCAAGTTAACCACTTACTGAGAGTTATTTAAAAATATAAGGTTGACTCGATTCTATACTTAATCCATACTCATCCATTGGGAGGACACTTCGGAATTGATATAATGTTTAATAAAATTTGGGCTAAGTATTATTGGCCGCAGATGTATGCCGATATTTGAAGATTCATTCGTATCTGTGATGCATGTCAAAGAAGAGAAAAGAATTTAGTAAAACCGCCATTATACCCAATTCCAGTAGAAGCTCCATTTTACAAAATCGGAATAGATATTGTTGGAAAATTACTTACTACTCCTAAAGGTAATAGATACATAGTAGTCGCTACAGACTACATGACAAAATGGCCTAAAGCCAGAGCAATTAAAAATGCCAACACTCAAGAGGTGGCCGATTTTATATATGAAGACATTGTTTGTCATTATGGATGTCCACAATACTTACTATCCGATAGAGGAACTCATTTTCGTAATACTTCTAGTACTTTGCTTAGCGGTACAATATACGAAAAGTACTGAAAGAATAAATGAGTCACATTCTCTTACATTGATAACTAATTTGGATATAGATTCACACAATGTCTTATTAAATCATTCAACTAATCCATTTGTTTGTGGATGATAGGGTGTTGAATAATGGTGATTGATGTTGAATTTCTTTAGAAATTCATCTACTACAAAGATAACTCCATTTTTTTTGGTTTATAGAAGAGAAGTCTGTTTTCTAATCCATCTTGATAAAAATGAAGAGTTATTGGAAGGAACATTTTACAAAGACTCTTTGAATTGATAGAAGTTTTACCTACAGTAAGAAATGATGCTATTAGATGAATTGAAAAAGCACAAGAAAATGCTAAAAGAAGATATGATCAAGAGTTATCACCTATAGAAGAAATTAAAAAAGGAGAGCTAGTATTGATATACAAAGCTTCTCAACAGTATTCAAAAAGCTATAAGCTTCATCCAAAGTGAAAAGGTTCATTCGTTGTATATAAGGTTTTAGAAAAGGAGTATATAAATTACGAACTGAAGATGGAAAATTATAAAGACACCCATAAATAGGAAATTAATTAAAAAATACTATTCTAGATAAGGAAAGTAAAAAGGGTATAAGAATGAAAAAGAGCATTAATTAATATAAAATTATCTTAAATAGTAAACAATATATTATAACGATATAAGATCATCATGAACAATGGAATTGTATTTTATTAATAAACTATATTAAATTGAAAATATATATTAGATCAATCATCAAATATTCTATAGTATGTTGAAAGTTGAACTTAACCAAATATATAATTTAATAATAAGAAGTTATAAATTAAAGGTTTAAAACGATATTTGTACAAAATACTTCGTTAGCTTAGGGTAAAACATATGACTCTTAAAGAATAATACAATGAATGGATGAGTAGAAATAAGGATGTCGATAATTGAATTAAAGAATTTCAATTTAAAGCCAAACTTATGAAGATATAATCCAATAAATTTTTTTAATAAATTAGATAATGTTCAAAAGATTACTGAAAAGAAGTTTGAATCAATGTTTTCAGAGAACTTAATTGGTAAATTAAGTTAAAGCAACTTGATGATATATCAAAAAATTTAATGATAATTCATGAATCAAAATATGTTTACGAAGATTTTCATAGTATCAATATATGGTGATATTATATCATATATTCTCTAGAAAGAAAGATGAATATGATATAGAAGATGTAGATTACTTTATTATGATGAAGCATTAACTATTCAAATGTGCAATGAATTAAGTTTGATGAAGGCACTTTTAATTATTATATTCGGTTATTAGTTTAATTAAAGATTCAATTTTGTAAAGATGATTCGAATAGAAAATACAAACAAATTAAGTCACATGAGTTTAAAAATTGACTAAAGTTAAATGAATCAATAAAAAGAGTATATTGATCATATTGATCGATCATAATAAACTTTTAAATTACATCACATGAACAAGATAGTCCTGTTGCACTTAAATTATTTATTAAACTGGGAAAATCTTAAAGAATTATTAACATAAACAATTAAGATTATACTTGGATAAAAAATGAGTTTAAACTAGATTATTCAATAATCAGTTCAAATTCGAATTCAAGTTTTAACCAATAAGAGATTTAATTCTCTAATATAAGAAGATACATCACATAAAAAGAGATTTGTAACAAAATTGAATCAGAATTTATTCAAGAATTGAATAAATCTTATGTACAAGAATTCAACATTTTGGATAATAAGAAGTGATATTTTTTTTAATCATGATATGATAAATCTAATATAAATAAATTAAAGATAAGTTAAACATTTATTTAATTATTTATTTAATTAAGTTCAAAAATTTATATAATATAAATATAGCACAATATAAAATACTTACTTAAGAATTTATTAAAAATATATTATTAGATATTGAATATTTATTAAACTACTGTTATGATAAATAGTTTAGAAGATTCAAATTAAATTGATTCAAGTATAGATATAATTCTGGAAGAATTATTTAAAGCAAGGGAGTAGTATATAAAGATTATAATTTGAATTTTTTTTTTTCATAATATTATTTTTTTTTACTAATGAAATTTTGAGGATTTAAATTTAAATTAGTTTTGAGTTTGATTTTAGATACGATTTAAAAGAAGATTTAAAATTAACGAAAAGAAAAATACTAAAAGATAAAATTTATTATATTTATAGCTAGTAAAAAAAAAAAAAAAAAAAACAAAGAAATGAAATCTAATCCTCCTGTATATAATTCTCATCTATATTCTCCTCCAAATACTGCGTACTACTCTCACCAATCTCATTAACTAATACCATCAGAAAACTACTACTCTCCTCTTCACTTGCCGATTCCTCTTTTAATATCGCCTTATATTTTTTCAACTCATCATCTAACCAAACTTCATAGTCCTCTTTTTCTTCTTCTTCCTTTTTTGTTTCTTCACTTTCATATTCTTCTTCATAATCTTCTTCATTATTTACTTCTACACCAAATTCTGCTAAATTATACCTTTTCCTCAACCTTTGTCTCTCTCTTTTCTCCTATCTATTGTACCCAACACCTCAATCATATCGTTCCTCAATACATTGTACTCCAACTCAAATTTTCTCTTTTCCATATCCAATCTCTTATATTTTCTTTGTTCATCTTTCAACATTCCTCTTAATATCTCCAATCTAAATTCTCCTAATTCCACTACTTCATCCAACATCTTTTTCAATCTTCTATTCTTCTCTTCCAACCAAAACATCATATTCTTCTCATTTTTCTCTGAAACCTACCTATTCTATCTATTAAATTAAATTATTTTTAATATCTTATTATATTAAATTGTAGTATTTAAAATTTATTTTTATTATATTTACCAGTCTT